GTGTTGTTTTCCGGGGACGCCGCCGACAATTCCTGCCTCTTGTCTTCAGATGTCGGGTGGTCGTGGGTCCACTAACTGTTGGACTGACGCTATCGGAGTTGACATGTAATTTACTCCCCCATCCTTCAGCTGTTTGGAAACCAACCCTTTTAATTATAATCCTTAACTTTGATGACATTTCATTAATGAGTAAAACATCGCCACCCTTTTCAACCAATCTTCGTCAACATCTTTCTGAATAATTATATATCTATATATATAATTAATGAATCAGACGATAATTCATATAGGATCTTGAGAACTGAGATTTAGCAGTAAGATATTGAGAAAAAGATGAGACGGGATCAAGGGAGTACAGTTTCCGATTCAACAGAAGCACGTCAACAAGTTTTTTTTACAATAAAAAAGACAGAATATGTATGTTAGTGTTGAAAATATTATATATATATATATATATATATAAACACTATCTCGCTCTTTAACAACATGAACCAGAAACGCCTAGGAAGATGAAGATTGAAGAAGATATAATTTGAATATTTCAATTTCATGGTTTTTTTCACCTGTTTGTTATTATTTGCAAGCGCTTGTGTTTGCACCACCATGAATAGTTGACCTTGCAGTTCGTTGTAGTTTCTTGTAATCTGATCCAACATGCTTCTCAGTCTCAGATTATCTTCGTGTAACCTCTCTAACTCGATTTTAAGAGCACTCATCTTGAGAGAAAAAACAATTCTCCATTAACAAGTTTGCACCTACCAACCAAAATGAAAATAAATAACAAAAATCTGAAAATTAGAACTTACTTCAGTGTTGGATTTCTTTTCAGTACTAGTCCTTGAAGTCCCTGGCTTGAACTCAGAAGATTTAATCCAGTCTGAAACAACATATTTAACTATTAATCACAATAACACCAAAACCGATGGGTTCGATAAGAAAAGAGTTGGGATAGTAATTCAAAAACTTACGTTTACATCAAAAGAAGAAGAAGAACCCTTTTTATCGAGTGATCGGTTATTAGTAGGAAAGAAATTCATTTCCTTGATGCGTGACTTAACATGATCGCTAGAATCATCATCATGGAGGGTTCGGTTGGAACCGAAGGAGCTCCGGCGGAGGAAGTCATCGGAGTGAAAGAACGGCAGTCCTGAAGGGATGTGTTTCTTCTCCATGAGGTAAACTAGAAATTAAAAGAAGAAGAAAAAAAGATGAGATTATGGAGAAATAATAGAGATTGGGGGTAGTTATGTAGCTTTTTCGAGCTTTCGGACAAGAGACGTAAATGAGTATGTAAGAATGAAGAGCAACCGCTTTTTTCGCGGGAGATATATGACGTAACAGTTGATGGAGAGGGTTACGTGGCGAATTCCGGGGGCGGTAGGACTGAGAAAGAAGTGAAATGGTAGGGGAGACAGAATGGCGTTAAAGATAACGGTGGGTACGGGTGGGCGCTAAGGTCAACGCAGTTGACGGTATGGCTCAAACCGAATCAAACGGTGGTTAGGGATCTTAAAAAAGGAAAGGGAAAGGGTGGGGACCAGCTGGGTGAGAATACCTAATTCCACTGACTTATGAAGCCAAGTAGGCAGAGCCAGGCCATGCCCTCACGTCATTCTTTTGGATCGGTCCATCTCCTCCTCGGCTATAAAACCATCTATTAGGGCTTCCTAATCACGTAATATATTACCCACTCTTCCATTGTAAAATGTTGTTGTCTGCATATAATTTTAAGCAAAAAAAAAATCTCAGTTTAATTAGTCAATGTGTGGGTCAATGGTAGAAAGATGCCTCTTTGACACTGAGAACCACAGCTGGAACTGGTCCATCTCCCTTGGCTTACAATCATAAATAACAATAAATATATTGTATCCAGCTTTACAAAAATGTAATTAACAACTATTGTTTTTCATGTGAAGGATATCTTCAAGTCTTAGAATCGTTGAGAGGCTTCTAACATGGAAGTATTCGTCCCTGCCTACCAACTCCATAATTTATCGTCTGTCAAGTAATTACACGTAACACTGCTGTTCTAATTGAGCATCCAAAAGAAAATCTCAGTAGTGGCTACGCATCTACATTGTAGTTGGTAATTGAAAGAAAGGGTCCTAGTAGGGAAGTCGTATCGATTAGTTGGAGCAAAGAAATCGAAAGAAAGTTCCAAGCTGAAATTATTCGAAATATTGAATTAGATTAATTTAATTCGAATATAAAAATTAAATTATTTAAATAGTTTATAAACAATAGTATGGTTATATATTTATTGCGATAGTTAAAACTCGTGGTATTTATCGATTATAAGTTGATTATATGAGACGTTAAATTTTTTAAATAATATTTAAAATTTTAATTTTAATGTTCTCGATATAGTCCAACGGAAACCCTAAAGAAGAAGAAGAAATGGTGGTTCCCGTGTACAGGCTAGCTTGGTTTTTATTTGTTGCCACCCATTACTGACGTTGACTTCTCCTTATAAGGAGCATGTCAAAACCTTGATTAGTTCACGTATTTCCACCCACGATTACATTAATAGCTACCCGGCCCCGACCTACACTTCTCCTCTCTTGCCTTAAAAACTTAGGTCAACTTACGTTTGCATGATGTTTGCTTACATCAAGGATATTGGACACTAACGCTTTAGCTTACATCTTTAAAAAAGTTTGAACAAAAGAAATAAAATTAAAAAATGATAAAATATTTATCCGAATCAATATTTAATGTCTGTGGTTGATGCAAATGATATTATGTACCCACCATAAAAGTAAACAAAAATTTAATTGTTATTTTATCTTATGGTATCTATTTTGAAATTTTATTTATACATATTTTATATGAAAAGAATTATATTATTAATATATATGCTTTAATTCTAAAAATTATTTCTAAATTCGTCACGGTTTAATCTCCAAATTTCCAAACCGATGGTTATGTTAATAAAAAAAATTAATCGGACGATCTTGAATTCTAAAAATACATATACTTCCATATATGAATCCTTGACGTGCCAGAAAGGGAGTTTGCATGTACATGACCATGTCACTTGAAATTGAAAAAGGGAAACATCAATTGGATTAGAAGACATTAGGGGTTTTAAGGCAGTGTAAGCTACCAGCCATGTATGTGGTTAAGGGAGATTGCATGCAGTGCAATCTTTTCCAAAAGCATTTTGTTGGTTAAGTGAAAACGAATGTGAATTTAATAGACGCAATAAATCCAGACGGATGGGTTGTTTTGGGTCTTTAGAAACATTGTTGAAAGTATGGTCTTTTTGATGGGGTCGAGAGAACTGGTTTGATTTGGTTTGGTCTGGTCTACAAAAATAAGCAATTTAACTCTCACGTTACTCCCATTCAGACATTTATTCAAACAGCTTGTGTGTTCTTTTGATGAGGATATGGATAGCCTCTTTCTCCCCTGTTTTTTTTTTTTGGGCAAGTATATAATCACTTTCTTTGTCTGCTTTGCCCTAAAATTCTAATCCCATAGTGAAGAGTGTTTCTAGATGATTGATATTCGACCATGAAGATTTTGACTTCTGGCCATATTGGCTGGTGGGGTAAGCGATTTCAGCTTAGATACGGGAACTTCGAATACATGGCCATTTGGGCTCGTACATTACCAGAGAAAGGGCCTGCAGTTATTCTTAAAATACTTAAATTTATATGATATTGTTATACCCCTACAGATCTCATTTGCTTTCATTTCTTCTCATATTGAAGTTTATGGAGATCAAATTTTCGGAGAAGTTTAAGCAGTTTTCGAAATTTATAATCTCTTATTATCAATAAATTTTTTATGCAATCCATGATAAATTTATGCACATGTCAGGGACAAATCTATTGTCATGTAATTATATTTCAAAACTATTGTCATGTAATTATATTTCTTCTTTTTGTCAACTTATAAATAGTTATTATGACTACGTATGACATCAATTAGAAGTTTTTATATGAACCCCTCATACAAGATTGAAGGAGATTCTCTCTTAAATCCAAAGACGACATAACCCTAAACCACCGATTGTAACTTTTCGTATCAAAAGGAGTACGGCCTACCATCGACGTACTCCCAAATATTAGCATCAACATATTATTTGGACACAGGTGAATCTGATAATAAAATATATTACATTTTTAGAATGGAGAATTCAAGTTTGAATTATCAAATTTGAACAATGATGGGAGCCTAGTGTTCCAAATGAAACTACGAGTTATTTAAGATACTCGGACAAAGAATACACTGCTTTTCATTTCCACATTCGACATGAAATTTAACAACATTTATGTAAATGTGCTTCAGAAAGTGAGGAGTAAAGGAGTTGGACCCTGTCTCCTTTGTCCTTTTGGTAAGTTATCTGGCGTCGGGAATTTTTTTCGTCGAAGAAAATGCATAGTTGAAGTGACTGTGATGCCAAAAATGCATAGCTATCCCGTCTCCTTTAGTTTTGTTATCAAGAAAACACAAGAATATCAGTTTAGATCTTCCATGTCTCAGATGGTTTGGTTACTGGTTAGGATCACAAAACAGAACAGGCCAATCCTGTAAACTGATAATAAAATCAGGACCTTGTTATGCATGGAAAGGAGGAAGATGAAGAGCAAGAGCCATGAATATCATATTGACCGTGTACTAGAACTGATATTCGAGTACAAGTATTTGTACGATTTTAGCTTGTGAGATGCTTTGTGTGGATAAAACCATGATCCCCAATTGTTCAAAACGAGTAAGTTCCTTTTGTTAAAATCTACATTGGAAAACCTAAACACTTTTTACACTATATTTTCCTGCCTACCTATCGATTGATCACTCCACAAAAAGGAAAGTAGAAAGAGTTTTGCATCCAAATTCAGCACTTGCTGATCTTCAATCTCCTCACTGTTGACAAGAACATCCTATGCACATGCCACAACATTAACAGATTCAGCTCTGGGTGTGTCATAAGAACATGACATTGTTCGTTTCGACTTAATTCGACTCAGTTCGAGTGTGCTTAAATACGAATCTATTTGTAAATTAAAAATCGAAAATGGTTTTTTTTTTACTTACTCCCATGGAACATCACCAACCATCATCCAATCACCTTCCTTGTCTTCATATATTAGCACAGGGTATTTCTCATAATGATCTCCATCAACCTCAGCTTCAGCCCCTGCAAAAAAAAAAAATACAAGATGGAAACCATATTGTATTTTCAGAAGGAAAACAAAAGGAAGAAACTTTACAGATAATATTTGTGTTGAACATATGTTGAAGACTCCTTATGAGGTCATAGTAATCATCATGAGCCAACAAGTCCAGTTTTCTCCCAATAGGAATCCCTTCCATATAAACTTTAACAAAGAAAGTTGCACTGTTGCACTCATCTTCTTCTTCACCAAGCACCTGCCTTAACATCGGCTGCTCCCTGGTACACAAGTTCATTTTTCACCATTAACCCCAAACAAAATACTATTTCGAGATTTAAAAAAAACCAATTTTAACCTCGCATAAGGAGGAGAGGTTGAAATGCTAAGACCAAGTCTAAGATCAGTGCCAAAATCCATGGAAGAAGAAGCTGCACCGGCACCGAAGAAGTGGTTGCTGCTGCTCTCGAAAGACGACGATGGTGAAGAACCGGCAGCTCTACCCATTGATGAAGAAGAGTGAAGACAAATGAGCCGCCACCTTGGGGTTTAAATAACTACAAAGTTGGAAACAACAAATATTTTGTGGGGGGGGGGGGGGGAATACAAGAGCGTACCAAAATTTGTTGGGAGAATAAGTGGCTGTGTAGTTGGGCTGATATGTTGTCAAGGCAGCCGACACGCACACGCGTCGTCTACCAAATCCAACTTGTAATAATCATTGGTTTTAACATCCTTTTTCGGAATTCGATTCTATAAGGTTTTGATGCGCACTATTCTATGTTTTGTGCTTGCTTGCTTCTCTTATGCCGAGTGATTTATCTGGTAAATTTTCAGTTATTTACAGCTATATACAACCGTGAATTCTGATAATTCAACCTTAACATGCATAAACCAAGTTCATAAAATAAGTAACTATATATATATATATATATATATATATATACACACACACGAGGTGAGAGCATTGATTAATTATGAGATTGGAAACAGGGGATATAAAAGCATCGAATTTGTAAACGTTAGGAAGAAAATGTGAACTTGAAATTGCTGTCCGAAATCAATGTTCAATGGATAGATTTGAGGGAGGGTAATGATGAATTCGGCTTCTCTGCGTGTCTGTATATATTATATCTAAAATAAGTCATATTATATGTAATATAATATTGAAAATACAAAAATAAGAATAATAAAAAGTATGAATCAACTTATTTCAGTGATCGAAAGAATGAATGTTATTCTTAAAAGTTTCGTATTCGAGTATTAGAGACTGTAAAGATGTTTAAGCTTTCATTATTAAATAATTTAGAGTCTTTAGACATATATTACCTTGTAATCACCTAGATTAATAACAAAAATATAATAAACATTGAAGTGGACATATAAGACCATTTTAGAGTAAAATTTATTTATTTTCTTTATTCAAAACATATCACACGAGTTGTCTATGAATTTGACAAATGTTAATTAGGTATATGATATATTTATTTATTTTTTTAAAAAAAGATACATGTTATACTTAAAATCATCAATTAAGTACATGTGTGACAATAATATCTTAACTTTAATAATAAGATCGAAAATTTGAAAATTTTATGATTTTAAACTCTAAAAATATCGTATGTAGATTTAAATATATCTTTATATCGATTTAATTATGTTTTATAAGGTATGAATCATAATTAATAAACACCATTATAGCTGCTAATGATTAGGATTCTGACCTAACTTGACCTTATACAAGGTAGAAAAAATTTGACATGTCTCGACACGAGATAAAAATGTAATTATTTTTATATATTTATAGATAATTATAATAATACACTTCTCTACATATATATATATATATATATATATCATGTATTTATTTTATCGAATAATAGTAAAAATTATATATATATTTGTATCGGTTCAAGTCATATCAAACATAATTTTTTACGTTAAAAATGGAATCATATTTCGTATTGGATTGAACCTTCTTAAATCTGATCGAATTAAATAACGAGTTAAAGCTATAATACTTGAACTACATTCAAATATATTAAAAATCTAACTCAATCCAATCCGACCCATCAGGATTCCTACTATTGACTTCAGCTCGAAGAGAGAGAACCTAGAGAACTCAGAAGATCCAATAATGGCGATATGCAATCATGCTCAATTGGCAAACACGAGAAAGAAAGGGGGGAAAGGTTGACTTGGAATTGGAAGGAAACCTTTGCCCACGTGTGGAAGGTTGTTCTTTGTCTCACCTTGAAATAAAAAGAAAGAAAAAGCATAACCACTGATTGTTTTTCTATCAATCAAGAAAGAGAGAGGGAACAGCAAATCCTTGCTTACACCAAAAGAAACGCCAATTTTGCCAAAGGAGAAGGAAGTGAAACAAAAGCAAAAGTTGATGTTCCCCACCGCCCCTACCCATCCCTTCTCATTTCCCCCAACTTATTAACCCCTTTTCCTTTTTAACCAACAAATATTTATCGAATATTTCAACAAACTAAACTAATTTGGTGTAACGTATAATGTGATTTAAACATCAAAATGCCTATGACAGGGGAAGATAGATGCACGTGATAATCATCTCTTTTAATTTAGATTGAAAGTTGTCGATGGATGATAATTATAGCATGATACAAATGTTCTAAAATTTGAATGTCGGAACCTAAAATAAGAAGGAAGGGGATGAAAGAAAGAATGTACCCTAACCTCAAATGTCTGTCTTTCTTTTTAAGAAGAATGGATATATCTGATACTGTATTTTATATTCAGAATGTCACGTGAAATCATCAAATAATTGATCAAAGAGATGAGAAGGTATATTGTTTATCAATAGATCTAATATACTAATTTATTAGTTATTTCACTTATACAGTCGTTGAATGTGATTAGATACATTAGATTAATTCATTTATGAAATGTTAAACCGGATTATAATAATAAAATCATAGCATAAAAGATAAATTATATATTCCTATTATTCTAATGATTAAATGACATTGAAATCATTCTTTTTATCAGAGTTCAAACATAATTCCCGCCCCAAATTATTTTTAAAAAAAAGGAAAGAACGAAATGTCATACTTTTACCCTTTTTGGCTAATCAAAGAAACAAATATTTCCATAGAATACATACTTTAAATTTCCAGAAGCAAATTTATGAAGCTACAGTTGTTTTTGTCAGTCTAATTAACCTAGGAATAGGGTTGCTTTTCATTTCCCTATGCAAAGATGTCTCAAATACAGGCCATGGGTCGACATTGGAGGCATGATCCCATTATCGGGCTTTACTTTTTTTCTTTATACTTTTTGTTTATAATTCATCTTCGAGATTTAAATTTATATGATATTACTTAAAATTTATTTAGTTTTTAATCATTCGATCTAACAGGTACTGATTTTAGGGAGTTTTCTTTCTTGAAAATTAATCTCTTCGTAAGCCCAAAAATGTGCTTTTGGTAAAGGGTATGATGAAGATTAAGCAATCAGCAGCCTACACAGTATTAGGGTTAACATTATGCTTCCCTACTGTCCAAAAGTGGTTAACGTCTTTCGTATATAGCTTTTTTTTTTTGCAGCTGCAACGATAATGTCTTTTTACACATTTATAAGTAGATTCCATGCCTGCATATTTTGGCATGCCAACATCTAACCCAAATTTATGCTTACCGGTGTTGTTTTCTCAGCATTGCTTTAAACATGTTCTTCAGCCTTTAGCATCCAACTAAAGCAGAAACTTTGAGACTTTGGACACCGAAGACGACGGAAAGTGTCAGCGAATAGTGTCAAATCTAACATCGTTTTTTCATTGTAGATATTAAAATTTGAATATCGGCACCGGTACAACATTCATATTTACGCAGCTTCAAGCATAGGGTTGTTCAACTCCTTACTCTTAGCTGGCATCCGAGAATTCTGTATTGCTGATTCCTTGGCTGGAGCGTCAACTAACTTTAGATTCGACAAAGCATCAGCCAAAGATTGATCGATTCCAGCCGTATCACTAACCCCAGTTTCAGGATTCAGATCTTCAAGGTTTTCATTTCCAAATTCTAGCTCCAATTTCATGAATTCCTCTTCAATATCTTCGTCTTCCGTGTCCAGGTACGGAGCAGATTCTTCAACAGTCAAAGAAGATCGTGTTAGATAAAGACTAACAACATTATCAAGATAGTATGCAACAACTCAATGAAAACTAATTGGCATTCCACAATAACTACAAAAAAATTAAAAAGGATGGTTAGTTACTACTACCTATAGCCTTTTCAACTTGCTTTTGTGAATCAATGATCTCATCAAGTTCATCTAAACAAAGCTGAACTTCTTCTACACTTATCTTATTCTCCTTTATTGCTCGTGCTCCGATCTGGATTGCTTCAGCTACCTGCCATCAAGGAGTAATACATCAGCTTATTCACTATCTTCTACTGTCGGGGACTTTGCAAACCAACTTTCTCAATAGCTAAAACCCAAGTCATTATGCTTACTTCCCTAGCAAGTTCACCTTTTTGCAAAGGCTTTTGAACCGCATAAGAGAATTATAAGCTCAACTATGTTGTGTTTCTATCAGAAAAGCAAAGTTCAAGTTGTAGTTGGTCACCTTCTTTGTTGATTCCGCATTCGCAATAACACTTAACACTTCTTCCACCCTGTTAAGAAGTGAGTTACATTTTTCTCTACTCTCAGTGCCCAACTTCATCTCCCTCGCGTGCCTCAGGGCCAATTTCTTGTTCCCAGACTTCAATGAAGCTAATGCTGACTGTCTAGACCTGCAATGAATAAACTCAACCATGAGACCGAAAACAGAGAATTTAGAGATACTGTGCATGATAGAAATCAACTGCCTGGAAAAAGAAAAAAGCATATAAGACACAACCGGTGTTAAAATCAATACTGTGTTCAGCCAAATGATTGTCTGGGACTGGACATGTTCTTGGTTCAAAAGAAAGTTAACTGAACATCCAAAGCAGATGGCATAGTGCAACTGACTAGTGTCCTAAATGATTTTATCCCCTCATCAGTGTTTTACCCTACCATTAAACATCCTCATATGCATTATATATCAAAGTTCACATATTCACAGGCATGGACACTCGAGCAAGAAAATTCAGCATATGATACAACAAAAAAAAAAGAGTAAGAAAACAGAAGTTACATTTCCCAGCGCCGGTCAATCACATCAAGTTGTTGCTGAAGTTTTTCTTGAGTCCAAATCAGGTGGAGTGTGTCGAAATCTAAGCTCGAGATAGCTGACACCACTTCCGACGAAAGGGAAACTTTTATGCCCTGCAGCAAATCATATTGCTCACAAGAACAACAACAATTGCAAAGACTTATAACTCGAGACGGTTTATAGATACAACACGCAACACACCTCAATTAGTTCCTTCTTGTTGGTTGAGAAATATCGACCTTTCCCAAACTCAGATAAATAACTCAATACTGCATAGGCTTCCTTTTGTCCTCCACACATACTCTCAAACTTCTTCCTCGTAACAACGCAATTCAAATTCCAGTGACTTTCGGACAAACACTTAACTAATTCATCTTTTCTTTTTCCTAAGAACAATTCAATTAAAACAGCTTAATATTCCAATTTTTACTTGATCAAATAGTACTTATCATACACACAAAAATGAAATGCAAAAATACCTTCAATAATGTTGTAAGAACGACACTATCTTCAAGAAGAATACTATCCGGAGTTATTGCTCTGTTCATCAATCTTTTCACTTTATGAAATAACTGAGTTATTCTCCTGCTATAAGGCTCCTTCATGTCCGAAATTCGGGTTACTTCACCTTCGTTATACATCAAAAACTGAAAACTTTGTCAAGATAATCAAACCCAAAATTTCCATAAACAAAAAACTTCCTTTTTCTTAAGAAAGAAATATAAGTTAGCCCACCAATACTTGATCAATACACAAAGGAGTTAAGCCCCCTCTATTAAACCACTCATTTTTCACCTACAAATAAACGAAATTTTTAGTAAAGTATATTTTTTAAAAAAGAAGATAAATTGGATAAGTGAAAAATTAAGTAGAAAATTGAAAAACCTGGGAAGGTGAAATGATGAAGATACCAAAGTGGCCGGATATTTTTATGATCAAATTTTTCCAGAACTGAAATTTGGGTTCCCAATCGGATTTTTGACCACTAAACGCTTTAAATCGGGATGTTGCGATCAATTCGTCGTCCCAATCGGGTACTTCATTTCTTATGAACTCCTTTACAGATTTTGAATCCATTTTCTTCTTTAGCCACTAACAACCGAGTTCAATTAAACTCCCGCTAAACCCAATGCTTCTGTTTAACTAGGTTTTTTTTATTAAAAAAAGAAGGTTTTTGAAATTTCCTCGAGAAATTTCACTAAAAAGGGAAATTTTCCGAAGGCGATTCGGCTTATGAAGCGTATCTAAATTAACTCCAGGCCCAATTGAAATTATTCGGGTGAATTACCTAAATATCACCTTTAAAAAATATTTTTAAAATTAACATATATTTAGATCAAACTTAAAAATAATAATATATTTTTATTAACTGAACATTTCATATAAATAAAGACGTAGCCAACTAATTTCACTTTTCACAAAAGATTTTTTTATTAATATGGATAATTACAAGACAGTATATATTTAAAGATAACTCTTAATCTCTAAACATTGAACGCTCGCATCTTTGATATCTATGATACTCGAATTCGAGTCCTCAAGGATAACAACAATTTTTTTTTAACAAAACACACATTTCATGAGTTAAATATTAAATATGCCCTTGTAATTATGCATGTATATCTTCATACTCTAGTCCTAGATTTTATTCTATATGCACTTTTAGATGAAAAAAAAGGTTTATATCTATTATTCTAAATTTAAAATTTAGTTTCTATATTTTGAATTTTTATTCATTTTACTATTTTTATTTAAAAATATTAATAACTTCATTAATTTTTTATTCACTTTTATCTTTAATTATCAACCTAGCAATTGAAAATTTTAAAATTTAATCATTATACTTGACTTTTATGCCATTGAATAATTATATTTTTATTCAAAAATCTTGAAATTTCACCAAATTTTTGTTCATTTTTATTATTAACTATTGACATGACAATTATAAAAAGCAAAATATTTTTTAGTCCCTTCATTCACAATTTTTATTAATTTAACCTGTAATACTTTAAAATATATTTAATTTAATAATAAGAATTATAATCATCTAAGCTTGAAATTTTTCAGAGCCAAAATGATTAAAAAAATTGTAAACATTAATGACAAAAAATAAAAAACAATATGTGCTCGAATACATGAATTTTATCTTGTATTTAAATTTCTAAAGTAAAATCAATTCCATTTATTGTATTTTTATGACTTAATTTAAATCCGTAGAATGGGTCTTTGGGTGAAAAACAAATGGCCCAATAGTGCCAGGTCTATAAACGATTTCATTAGGAACCCAAAAGAGTGTGACATTGGCCTGCTTTGATGATTCGGACTTTTATTTTGAGTTGATATTTTTTGTGACAACTAGTAGTTATCTCGTCGTTGAGAACAAAGATGTCATGTTTGTGTCATTCGCCTTATTGCAGTTTGCAGGCTACAATTTTAGGAGTCAGGCAGTGGGAGTCTAGCGCGGGTGCTGGCGAGATGAATTCTCTTGTTCATGGTGTTGCTCGGGAGCCTTAGGATTATCTCGTTTGCTCTTACCTGTGATAGCTGCTGGTCTCCTCTGTTGGAAGGTCTTGGGCACATAGAGTATGGTGTTGGAGCGTTGTTTTGCTTCTTCAGAGTTTTGTGTGTGTACGCTCCGTTTTGGAGGCAATACTAAAGTTAGGGTTTGGCTCTGAGCCCCGTTTGTGTGTATGCTTTGTTCAATTGTTGCTTTGTATTATTGATCTATTGTTGGTTTTCTTTCATGACAACTCATTTTGCAAGTCTTTTTCCTCCATTTAGGTTTAGAGAGATTTTTTAACGAGACTCGTGATGTTATTTAGTTTTGTATTCTATTCATCTGGATTACAAAATCCCCTTTTCAAAAAAAAAATTACCCTTGAATACAACTTTATTGACATTGGATGTGTGTCATCAACAACAAACTCTTCCATATGCAATTAAGAAAATACATACATTAAGAGAGATGCAAACAAATGAGTTGAATCCATTTAAATTTACAAATGAATCCAAAATAATATATTTCCAAATACATTAATAACATTTTTCTGTACAAGCATATGATATGATAATTCAACAATAGAGCATTAATTAAATTATTAGGATGCAAATCATTCACTGTGCACGTGAAATGTACATTTAAAGATATATTTATCAAAATTTTATCAAACTCGATATTATTATGAGTCGAATTATTGAAATTTTATCAAACTTGATATTATCATCGATCGAATTGTAACGTCAAAAAAAAATCCAACTAGATGAACTTACATTCAAAAGTAACGTCATAAAATACCAATGTTCTGTCATTAGGCATCAACTAACAAGATTATACAATTAAAAAGATTCAAACATGAGATCCTAATGTTATGCTGAGACAAGATACAACATCTAGTTATCATTCAACAACCATGTTATCTTCTAGAAAAAACATGTCTGTCATATGTTCCATTGTATGTTAATCCAATCCACTAATCAAATATCCCTAAACCTAATTCATTGGATTGGACTGATATCATATTCCCTCATTTCCCTAAACTGAGTTTTCCCCCTATTTAACAACACAGCCATATCCCTAAATTCCTTCGAGCTCTAATGAACTAAGAAGAAAATGAAAGAATCAGAAACCAAGCCTGCATTACATGGAAGACGTCGAGTCTTGTTCGAGGGGGAAAAGCACGCCTCCAATCTCTTTGTCGTCGACAGTCTTCTTGGTCTCGTTTTTATCAGCGTCGGAGAAGGAACCCTTACGTTTTCTTGGAGCCGGCGGGCAGGACAAGATTTCGGGGATCTGATGTTCTTTAGATGTCGGAGTCCGACACGATTCACCGTCGAAAATTGGATCTGTTGTTTCATTATTGTCGGGCACCTTTTCTTCCACGCTAATCGTTAGCTTTGCTAATTTGTCCGTGAGGATTTGTTGCATGTCTTCTTTGCAGCAGTGAGTTTAATCTTATCAAAACCGGATCGGGCCAATCAGTTTCAGTGGATTGAATCGAGAGCAAATGAGCTTAATCTTATCAAAACCGGCTCTTTCAAGAATCGTGCAAACCGATGAGAAACTGAGAAGCAAAGATTAAAATACCAGGAAAAACAACTTGAACCGGGATTAGGGTTCTCTATTTTGTTTTCCCTTCTTTCAACCATCTACTCCATGGGATTCGGGGAAGAATAACTTGGATCCACCAAAAACGAAGATTTGAAGAAACAAAAAGAATTGCTCGGGACTGCAACAAGTAAGATTTGAATAAGAAAAGGGAGACTTTTGTAAGATAATAAAAAGTGGGTGAAAGCACCATTTTAGGAATATGAGCTTTACAATAAATGCGTTCATTAAAGGAAAATATGATTTTATCCTTTTATGGTTTATCCATATATGGTTTCCATAATGGTGTCGTGGTATTACTTTAGTGTGTGTATATGGTAATATGGTATCATATAACAAGAATATTGCTATATGATAAAAATATTCAATTCACAATCGATGAATTATATCTTATTATTTCACTAATAAATAAAATAAATTTATTATAAAATTTATTCAATTAATTTTAGCATAATTATAATTATTAGTCTTTAAACCTTTAGTGGGCGTTTGGTTGGGGGAATGTGGGATTCCCGTGGGAATGGAATCCACATTCTCCCGTTTGGTTAGCATGAGAATCTCATTCCCGGTAATGTAAGATTACCAATATTGGATTTTTTTGGGTATATTATCGGGAATGTCATTATCTCCTTTTTCTTAGGTATTGTTGGATTACCAGCGTTTTGGACTAAAATGCCCTTATTTTTTTTTCAGAAATATCCTTATTCTGTCATTGAATAATAAAAATTCTACGAAGGTTAAATTATAAATTTATCCTTAAACTATTTTAGATTAACAAAAAAAAATCTATAATTAAAAAATTATATGAAGTTCAGGGGTTAAAATAAAATTTTACCCTTTCATTAAACCTTTTTATATTTTCAATTTTGTAAAAAAATATAAATTTTATGAATTTAATTTTTTTTAAAGAAAATATATAAATATTTTCCAACTTGATAAAAAAATATATAATAAGGATAATTTGGTCAAATATACATTCTAATAATCTTTTATTCCTTTAACCAAACACGATAATCTTACATTCCTATTAAATCAACCAAACACAAATACAACATTCTCAGTAATCTTAGTCCCTGATAATCTTACATTATCACTGGTAATCTTACATTATGTGAACCAAACGCACCCCACTCTCAAGTTCAATTGACATTGATTTTAGAAAGTGTGGTGTGAGATTAAGTGATTATGGATTAAATTATAGTCCCTATCCACCAAAAAAAAACGTGCCCTTAATTTAAAGAGAGGAAAATGGGTTGTTGACAGTTCATATTTGGGCCTTATGGGAAAATGAAGGGGTGAAATTAAAAAAGTGTGGGGTCATAATTAATTGTGTGCAGACTTTAAGAAAGAAAACTGTCCAATAAAAAATATCTGATCTGTGAAATTATGAGGGAATTTCAAGCAAGAATGAGTACAATTAATGTCAAATCTCCTTATCCCAAGTTGATAATTGATATTTCTTGTCAATTGGGTTGTGATAATGAAAAAAGAAATGTGATGTGAGGCACCTCTTCCATTTTGTTCAAGGACACGTAGATTATGTCCATTTTCATATGTCAAATAGCTTGTTGATTAGCACCTTTAAATATCCTATTTCTCTTTTCTTGTGAATAATAGGGTTCGTTAATATGACCATCAACTTTATAATCCAATTCCCTTTTTTTTAGTATTAAAATTGCTAAATTAGGCTAATTTTTATGATTCAAGCAATGGTTCATAGGTAGGGGCCGATCTCAAAATACCACCATATGTATAGTACACTCTATAAAAAGGAAACAAGGACGTGATGAGATGTAGGGATGTTTGTTTTTTTGGTTTTAATTTAATTAACTGGTTGAATTAAAATTTAGTTTGATTAATTGATCGATTAATTAGAATTTAAGTTTATTAATGGTTAAGATTTTTTTTAAATTTAATTATAAATTAATTTAATTTGAAATTGATTAACTAACATAAAATATTTTTTTAAATAGAAGTCGCTGGTCTTATTAAAACGTGAATATCCAATATTGCAATAAGAATTTACAACTATTATCGTAATCTAAATACATAATTTGGATATTTTACTAATATCAAAACTAACCA